TGCTACAAAATATCTTGCTTCTTTCAATTTCCTCTAACCAAAATTAAGATAATAGGAATAAGGTTGCTAAACATACTGAACTAGCACTAGCACTTGATCGAATTAAGTCCACAATAGTCACATTGCTTCTGCTAGATGTCATGCCTTTTCCACGTTCCAATTGAACGACACAAAGGTAGCTGACATTTAAAGCTAGATTTGCCAAATGCCACAATAAACATGACACACGGAGGACATCAAGTTTTTTACAGGGATTCTTTTGATCAAGTAAAGCAATAATAAATTCAAGCCGAAAATATTAGTATCAAACATCAAAATACCACTTATTAGACAGAAAGCTCACGCGCTTAGATTGTATCTGGTACCTGTGAGAACAATTCAGCCAGACAAGTTAAGAGATTCTCCTCCGCTTCTGGAGGGCTTTTATTATTTGCATAATACTCCAGCAGTTGCTCACGGAATGGTACACAAAAGTACAGCGCCTGTTTCAGAACACAAAAAATTTAATCACATCGGAAAAGGCAGCAATTACTCCTAAAATAAAGTGTTTTTTGCACCTAAATTTACACAATATACTGACTTTATCTGAGAACGAAATCCATCATCGAAAAACTAATCAAATTGCAAAACTATGCATCCAGACAATCCTCACTAAACCTATAATTCGAAAACAGATAGTGAATACAAAATTCATCATAAGAATCCGATCAAATAGTAAAAACACATAACTTGATAAATATTTAAATTATCCGAAGGAAAGAGGTCCAAATTGAGTAGGATAGATATAGACCTAGCTTGGGATCAAGACATATTGTTGTTGTTGTTGTTATTGTAACAATCAAAGCTAAACCCAAATTTGAAAAACTCAAAAGAATTTTACAGTAACAGAATAAAGAAGTAACGCCGACCTGCAAGACGCTGTTGCAGTAACAAGTGTTGCCAAAGTTTTCGAGGCCAAAGTAGCGTTCGCCTTCGGGAAATTGGTCGCCGAGGGCCTTCTCCAGCTTCGAACCCGTTGCACCCATTAGACCCTCCTCTACCAAATACCAATACTCCCCCTCTATTCTGCTTTCTTTTTTGGTCTTCAAATTCAACAATCACAAATGGGGTATTTATCTATCTACAGTAACCATATTATGTAAAGTCTAGACTACGATGTGAATTTATAGACCAAGAGAAGTGGAGCTAGTGTTGGATTTTTGGGCTGAATTTGTCGTTCGTTTCAATTCTCAAAGGCGTGCTTGTAGAGGCGGTGTGTGTACTAGCCATCTGGCATTGACCCAAAGCTCTTGCCTGGTTTTTTTTTTCTTCCCTTTTTAGTGTTATTTCTCTTTAATTTTTCTATTATTACGTTGAGATATTAGATGTTATATAATTACTAAAAATGACTGTTTAATTTTCCAAAATCAAAAGTTTTATACTGATAACAATACTAGAGTAGCATTAATCGTCTGTCGAACATCCTTTTTTTTTTTTTTTAAATTTGGATATCAATAATCTTGCTTAGATGACATAGATTTGGTTGAAACTTGAAAAAATAATTTTTGAAAGTTGAAGTTGTATTTAGACATGCATATTATTTGAAGTAAAGTTGAAATTTTATTAGTGGAAGAAAATTTTTCACCCAAAAATTGTCCTAAATCAATTTTTGGAAACTTGAAAAAGAATTTTAATTTTTTTTAAAAAACTGATCATAACAAACAATGTATTCAAAAATTTCTTTAAAAAAAATAATCAAAATCTATGACCTAACGGGAGCAAAATCCTTTTTATATTTAATAATAAAGTTGATCATCAGTTTATTTGTTCTTTTTTACACTAGATACAAGTTTTTGAGTATTCCTTCCGAAGCTTAATTAGTCAATTTTCATATTTCGGGACTAGGTGAGCTTCACTTTCTTCCCTAATATATGTATTTAGAATTTTTTACATGTTATTTTTTTACCTTATAAAACCAGTTAAATGCATTACAGATTATTTAAGAAAAGGTATATTTTGGTTGTTTATTTGAGGAAAATGACAAAAAGAGGTGACAATAAGAATAAATATAGAGTCACCGGTAAATTATTCTAAAACAATTAATCCAAGGAGGGATGATGCTTAATGGTACACACGCTATTTTCCTGAATTAATTTAAAATACGTATTTTCCTTTTCTCATTGGTGACTAACGATAGACCTTAGCTTGCCTGCTTTGGCAAATAAATAATTAAACACGAAGTCAACGTAGATTTGGTGCAATGTATCTCTCTTGAAAAAAGTCCGAGTGTCAAGTTCTTATATTTAAATATTACTTTGATTATCTAAATCCTTTATTGTGGTCAAATCTGTTATGGTCTTCTATAAAGGAGATAAACAAGAATGAAGAAATGAGTCACTACTCACTTCTACGTGCAATGCAAAATAACTAAAGAAATTCCGAAATATGCCAAATTAAAAGGCATTTGCTTAAAAAGGATCCACTATAATATTAGAATCAAAGGGTTTAGTTTTATGCATTAATAGCATAAAGAATATAATCAGGATAATCTGATGTGTAATGTTGTATATAACTTAAAATCTATAATGAATTCATTGTCCCATTCTTAAATACTTCACCTCAAAGCTTAACTCATTTTTCCCAATATATTAAAGTCATAAACAGCCCGGTGCACAAAGCGGTCCGGAGAAGGATCGTACCTTAGGGGTGTGATATAGAGAACTTACCCTAATGCAAGCATTAGTCACTACTTCCACAGCTCGTACCCCTGACTTATAGGTCAAGTATATAAAAGTCAAGTTCTAAAAGCTAGGAGGCTCGTTGCTAGTAGAAATTGTGGTCCAAATGTGGTAGTTTAACCCATATTTCCAATCCGTTAGGGTTGAATTCTATAGGCCATGGTTAATTAACATACAGTTTCACCTCTTCAAATCACTAATTCATAGTAACTTGATACATCTATACTATATTAAAAGCACGAAGACCCTTAGTGAAATGTCGTTCGTCTTTTTTACCCTTCAAAAATTAATTTCACACTAAACAAAATAGTCATTTAATTAATTTCTCTAATATTTAGGCCTATGAATTAAATCATTTCCGTATTGAAATTAGGTAAAAACTCCTAATATTTAGGAATTTAAATCGATTAGATTCTATTCATATAAATCCTTTGCCTAAATTAACTAAAAATACCCTTCCGGTTGTTATACTTTTAAAAGTCCTAATCTAAATAGGAATAGATTATAGCCACACATATAAACTAAAATAGTGGTATCAGTGGAGATCATTAGCTAAAAGATCATCTTTCTTTTATATTTTGACATGTATCCATTGGAATTCTTATTTCATTATTTTAGATTGTTTTGTTTGATAATTAGGGATTGCCGTTTTGCTTTGTTTTTAGAAGATTTTTTTATTTTTATTTTAGAAGAAATCTATTTGTGGACTAATATTAGGACTTTAAAATTAATTAAAATTTTGCTTTAAAAGTTATTTCTTATTTGAATTAAGCAGGAAGTCGTAATATATCGAACTTTAAAATCAATTAAATTTCACATTATATAATTGTTTTTCTTGTTTGAATTATTTAATATAACTATAGTACATTCCATATTATTGTTGCCAAGGATTCATCTCCGCGGTAAATTTAAGTTCTTTCCAAGTTTTTATTGCAAAATTATAAGAAGATTTCTAGATTCAGTGTTTTGTCTATTCTTTTATCTACGTCAAGAATCATTATAAAGGTTTATATATTCAAGTTTTTTAATGATTTAGAATGAGTTTGCTCATTTTTTAACGACTAGATTATATAATAATATTTTACATGTAGTGAAAAATTAAAAATTAAAAATTAAAAATATATTTAATCATTACTATTTATTAAAGTAAGATAAATAAATTGTATCTAAAAATACTTTAATTACCAAATGAATTTCAAAATGATGAGAAAGAGAGATATTTATATAAGTTTTAGAATGACTAACAGGACACATGGAAAGCACTAATCTATATCTATTCTATATCAAATAAAATTATAACAAGAATAAATTTCAGTTGAATATATTGACTGAAGATTGAGAACTTTTATTGGAGTAGTTTATTTTTTTATTGAGTGATAAATATAGGATCAATATTTATATATACTTTATTTTATAACTCAAACACAATATTTAATATAATATCAACGTTTTTTAAAAAAGTCTTTTACTCATTGAGATAGTGTACACGTGCAACGCGCGTAACGTAAGACTAGTTTTAATATAAATGCCGATAAATTTCTACCATTATCCTACCTCTAGTCTCTTCCTATCCCGCCTATAAAATATAAATTCACGAAGACTGTCCATCGATCCTCTAATATAAGCAAGCACGTATTACAAAAAATAGTAATAAAGAGCATTATATGTAACAAGATCATAATTAGAGCTTTTTTGTTATCATTTTTTCCTTGCTTCTCAGCTCGTTATCTAATTGATTAGGTTCTCCTCTATTAATGAACCTAGCAACCAAAACCCAAAAGACAAGGCCCTCTGTAAAATTGTAGGTTGCCTTTGGATTTCTGAAGTTGAAGTACAGGAAAAACTTCAAACATATGATACAGATGTATTTACTATCTGATATTTACCAAGCTCCAAATAGTGAAGGTAAATAAATACTCTACTATTTCTCATTCTTCTTCGTTTTGCTAATTGAAGACACAAGACCTATTTTTAGCATATCTACTTTTGCCTTGCAGTCACTAGTATTGAAATGTAATATCGAGATGAATCAATTACATAAAGAAATTAAAGTAAAAGGTAGAAGAAAGTATTTAACTTCAACCACTCTTAATTGTCATTAAGCAAACTACATGAAAATTTTGCATTTTTTCTTCAGAATCCTATCAAGTAAACGAAATCACTAAAAAAAATTATACATTAATTATACGCTATTTCTTTTCTATTAGGAATGACTCTGAATGGACTGGCCTAGGAAACATAAAGGCTCTCATTAAAAATGTATTGTTAAGATTTGCTCATGCTTCACCCTTGGTGGCTGCAATAGTCCCTCACTTTTGTTAGGAAAACTGGTACTCTAAAGTGCGTGAACGCTCTATCAAAGCAATCATCTGAAATTCTTGAAACAACTCTGCAACAATCTGCGGATAACGAAACTTGATCCTTGAAAAAGGAAGTGATCAAATCTGAGACACAACCATCCACATTGATCAGAACCGTCGAGCAGTCGCTTGTTTCATCACCCCAAGGAGCCGAAGAAGGTGGATTAACCACCGGTAGATGAAACGTTGGAGGTGGTGGTGACACTATAGGAGCCATGTTATCGTGAACTGGTGGCGAAGATGGAGGCCGTTGTGGTGGCAGTGATGGAGCCACGTGCGGTGGCATAGGTGGTGGTGCAGCCACGTGCAATGGTGATGGTGGTGTAACCGTCTGCGATGGTAGAGGTGGGCTAACCACCGGTGAGTGAAACGCTAGAGACGGTGGTAGTGGTATAGGAGCCACATTATCGACTGGAGGCGGAGACGGAGGCGGTTGTGGAGGTAGTGATGGAGCCACGTGCGGCGGCAAAAGTGGAGTCGCGTGCCATGGCGGAGGTGGAGCCACGTGTTGTGGTGGAGGTGGCGGCGGAACCGCGTTAGCAACTGAGGGCGGAGGTGGAGGCAATGGTGAAGGTGATATTGGGTGGTGACTGCAATAGTCCCTCACTTTTGTTAGGAAAACGGGCACCCTGAAATGTATGAACCCTGCGTCGAAGCAATCATCTGAAATTCTTGAAATGACTATGCAGCAATCAATGGATAATGAAACTTGATCCTTGAAAAAGGAAGTGATCAAATCTGATACACACCCATCCACGTTTATCAAAACCATCGAACAATCACTTGGTTCATCACCCCGAGTTGGAGGAGGTTTATTAACCACCGGTGAATGAAATGCTGGAGGTGGCGGTGACAGAATAGGAGCCACATTATCAATTAGGGGAAGAGGAGGAAGTTGTTGCGGAGGTAGTGATGTAGCCGCGTGTGGTGGCGGAGGGGAAGGTGGAGCCATGTGCGGTGGTGGAGATGGTGGCGGAACTGCATTAGTAACAGGGGGAAGAGACGGTGGCGGACGAGCAGTGTGCAGTGGCGGAAGTGGTGGTGGAGCCACATGCGGTGGAGGGGGAGGTGGATCCATGTGCACCATTGGCGGAATCACATTAGCAACTGAGGGCGGAGGCGGAGGCAATGGCGGGTAGTTTGGGTAGTATACACGCCATGGTAGTCTCCACCAAGGAATAGGCGGCCATCTTCGACCAAATAACTCCACGTTTTCACTTTTAGGTTCCCTCGCAGTGGCAGTAACCATGCCCATGCAAATACCCAAGAAAAGAATTACCCATAATGTACCACTTCTCGACATGTTTCAACAAAGAAAGATTAGCTTTGAGGTTTTACAAGAGCAAAGATATAAATGGGAATAACCACAGAATATAACCTCAGGTAGCACGTTTGAATCCCATTAAACTTCTAACTGCTACTCTCTTAGGCGTATCAAAATTCTTCTCTATCTTTGACACTCCGAATAGCTAATAATTTCAGGACTTCTAAACAACTATGAGTTGCAGTCAAACTAGACTTCTTTTCCACAAATCAATTGAACAAACGGCAACCACCAAAAAAAAGGAAAAAAAATTGTGAATATTTTTAATGACTTCGTTCTGTGAAAAAGGCTTCTCCCAACAAAAACTGTGAAGCATTAAGATCAGCTTTGCCCTTTTTATCAGTTATTGAATAGGATGATACTGCTCTGATACGCGTCTTGGAGGCAATTTGCGCAGGATAAAGAGCACTAATATAGAAGGCAATATCTCCACCACCTGAATAAAATGAAAAAAATGGATCTTTATGAAACATCTTTTACGCCTATGAAAAGCTTTAAGGGAGCTTAAAAAGTATGAGAAGATAAATAAAAAAAAGTTAAATAAACCTAAGAATGGACTTGAAAATGGAAAAATACACATATAGATGCAAATGTGCCACAAGGGCTGAATTTGGTTATAACCAGCTATAGAGTATTAATAATAGGGTTTAAATTTTGTGTACGGACATAACAATGTAAAGAACTTTTACGCTGTCAGTTGAATTTTAATCAGTTATAGAAGGTTATTACTCTATTTACCAGATTATCATGGCTTCCCAAGAGTTGGTGCTGGTAAATTTAACCTAATGGTGTAAAAAATCAAGAAACTGAACTCTTAAATATAACTTAAATTACCATGTAATAGATGAGAATGAGAACAGGATGGTCAATGACATCAACATCAGCATTCCCGTCAAAAGCAGAAATAGCAACCTGCAAATAAATAACATGGAAATATGCATTTTCTTAATCATGCTAGGGTCAAATATCCTGAATTTGGTGGAAACTTACCACTACACATCTGATCAAGAAACAAGTGCAGCAAATACCAGTCACAAAGCCAACCTGCACAACGATAGACGTTAAAGACCAAAGTAGATCAGATTCTCATTACACAGGAATAATTATCTTTTCCTTTATAATTATACCAAACTCCATTAAATGCTCAAAAAATTTAACGTTATCTTTTAAGTACAATGAAACCATTTGGATTGATATAATACACAAAGGATCATGCACCTGAAGAGCTGACCCCGAACTAGTTTGAGATTGAGGCCAATTGATTGGCTGATATCGAGTACATGATAAATCATTTTCCCTTTATCTTTTGTGGAAAAATATATCAGTGTATTTTGACTATTTCAGCATTTCACCAGGTACCCATATCCTCTCATGATAACTTTGTCTACTAAAAATTAGACAGTTTCATGTCAGAAGATATATAGCACCTATTGTCTACACTATCAACCAAAAACAAAGATGGATGGAGCTGGGAACTAGATTTCTAGTTTTTAATTGGTCAAGATACTATTGCAATGGCCGGAAAGACAAGGTAGGACTTGGCAGCAAAGCTTCAATGAAGATGGATTTGTTTCTCTCAAAGGCAAAAAAGAGGCACCGAAATGAAATATAGTCTTGCATCTAGTTGCCATGTACATGGCAAGAGAATGACGGAATGAAGATGAAGGCAGTTACAACAGGCACAAACCTCATGAAGCTTCTTCTGACGGCCTCTAGATTCAATAGGAAAGCGCCGAAGCATTGCGAATAACCTAAAGAGAGATTAAAAAGGAAAAGAAAAAAGATCAATTTCATGAAACATGGATATAGGAAAGAGATTATGGGCACTTGTACAATACTGGGCACCAATTACCTTCCACCATACATGACAAATCCCAGAGCAGCACAAAACGAAATAACTGCAGAAAGTGCACTCAGATTTTTTAAATAAGATTGTAGACAACAATGTCTTAGTAACAATTGCACATATGTAGCCGACCTGCGAAAAAGAGTTTAGCAGTTTCAACACCAGTCGAAGTCGGGCCAAGCCTGATGAAGATCCAGATGCATATCTGCAATCATATCACGGTTCCATAAATAGGAGGAAACTTAGAGAGGCTTCCATTGCTTATACATGGATATATTTTCTGTGAAGTGAATAGAACTCTGATGCACTACCTGTATAAGATACACGACCGCATTAACTGCATAATATGCAGGTCGAAGTTTATCAATGGGAAGGTTTCTTGCCTGAGAAAAATAATAAATAAAGAGTAAGGCCTGATCCATGATGAAAATAATTATAATAGGTAAGGCGTCTTCCACAACGAATATATTAAGGAATATTTTAACACGATTCCCATGAAAATATCTTGTCTGAGTGACTCCTTAAAGACTACCGAAATCAAATAGCATTACCTGATGGTATATTTCAGCCCAAAATAGAACTAGCAGCGTATATGTGGAAAAGAATAGAAGACCAGGGAGATCCAGAAGCATCATCTCAAGTGCCTGTTTAAATGTTGAATGGTGTTAGCTAAATAGACAAATCAAATGTCATAATGCCTGTTCTTTAAAGAAAATATGAAATTTAACTTGGATCCCAGTTCTGATGCATGGTATGATTTTTTTTTTTAAAAGGCAACTGTTCTAATATGTAACCTGCAATCAAATTCACCAAGAGTTTGAAATATTGATCTATTAAGGTCAGAATGTTTCATATCAACTACAAAGTCATGGAATAAGGAGAGAGTAGAAGGAACGATAATTTGACTATTTGTTCTCTGTGAATTGCTCACAAGACAGTTCAAACAGACAGTAAATTGATGTTAAACAAGGCGAAGTTAAGTCCATAGGTTATATACTAAACACAGGCTCGCAGCTACTTAGTTCTGTGATATCTACTAGGTTGGTGATGAGTTGATGCTAAAGAAGGATAAATTGTTCTCAGTTTAGCTTCAAAGAATTGGATATGATTGTTTCATCAAAATGACTAATGCTACTTAAACGGTGACATTCATGAGTTAACTTTCCTTCTCTTGCATTGTAATTCCCTTGAGAGTACATTCCAGAAATTTTAGGAGTCAATAGCCTACGCTGCAATTTATTCACCAGCAAAGTGGACATTAGAATGGTTAAAGGAAAGAAAAGACTTACTTTTGGTCTCAGATAAAACACACTCCTGTAGATGCCAAATAAAATCGCTCTCACTGCCAACAAATCATTTGGTTCTTGTGAGTATCAGAATAACTTGATGCGAACAGTTTCTAGCAGAACTTGGAGAAAGTAAAGGAAATCTTACATCCACAGACAACAAAATTCATCAAGTGAAAAACCTTCTGTGTTGTCCAACCAATTCCTGAAAGACGCAATTGGATGCGAATGAGTTGTACCTGAAATACAACATATGGAAACTTGCTGAGATGATAAATTTCGAGAATTTGGAGTAGGCCTCATCAAGACAAGCTAGTGGGATGCTGATGGAAATTTGGATACATTTCCAAGTTTTTCAAATCCCACTGTAGTATTAAGAAAACTGCAGTGCCATCATTACTACTAGTGCCCAGACCATTAAAATAGTACAACCAAAGCTTGCAATAAATAAGTGCCACCCCTTTCCACACACCCTCTCCTGCTGAGCAACATGACATACAAACACGCACATAGTCCTTCAACAGAAAAGCATAAAAACAATAATTAAAAATCACATGCAAAAGAAAAGGCGGAGAAATATAATTGGGTGGCAGATCTTTTAATAAATTCCTCTCTTTTTTATCTGATGGAATCACCGTAAAGCTCTTTTGTCTACGTTGTCCCTTTTGATTTTGTGCGGGGATACCATGTTAGATAAATTAGGAATGAAGTTATTCTGGAAAAGGTGGGAGCGGCTCCCGTGGAGGATAAGATGCGGGAGGCAAGGCTCAGATGGTTCGAACATGTGAAGAGGAAAAGCACAGATGCCCCAGTTAGGAGGTGTAAGAGGTTGGCCTTGGTGGGTATGAGAAGGGATAGAGGTAGGCCTAAGAAGTATTGGGGAGAGGTGATTAGGTAGGCATGGCGTAGCTGGAGCTTACCGAGGACATGGCCCTTGATAGGAGGATCTGGAGGTCGAGGATTAGGATAGAAGGTTAGTAGGTTGTCGAGCGTGTCCTTTTGTCTTTCTCAAACCGGTAGCATTAGTGTTAATATGGTATCCTTTATCCTTAGATTGCTAGTATTATCTATTGTTTGATTGTTATCTTGGCTTCGCTTCTTTAATATCTTGTTGTTGTTACTACTTGTTGTCACTGCTTCTTTTCTTCTTTTCTTCTTTTCTTTAGCCGAGGGTCTTTCGGAAACAGTCTTTCTGCCTTCCTAGGGTAGGGGTAAGGCTGCGTATACTCTACCCTCCCCAGACCCCACTTGTGAGAATTCACTAGGTGGTTGTTGTTGTCCCTTTTGGTTTTGTCGGATGAACTATTTATTTTCCATTTGATTAAATTATCCTTTGAAAATAAATAAGGAATACAAGATAGTCATTGTAATGCTTAGGTCAATTATACAGAATTTACTAGACAGCTATCAAAAGATGTCTTAATCTTTCTTTTGTTTCGAGCCTAGAAATGCATTTACCACTACATGATCATGAGTCAAAATTAAAAATGTCTTGTGTTAACAAGTCTACTTCCCTTGCATGTTGTCATTTACTTTAAGCTCAATTTCCATGGCTCTTGACCTCTTGTGAATATCTGTTGCAAAGAGCAAGGAGAGGAGACTGAAACTGTGTGACCTTTTTTATGCTCTGTTGTCAATGCATATTATAAGTTGTTTATTCAGGCTAGGCGAAAATTCTCAATTAAGTTTAATTCATCGTATTTGAGAATATATATATATATATATATATATATATATTTTTATTTTTAAATATAGTTCCTGATTAGGTAAATATACGAAGATAAGGGGGGAACATATACCTCAATAGCACTTTAGAGTGGAAGCTCGACAGTTCATAAATAAAACTTAGGCAACAAAATGTCAACCCTTCAGTTTTGTAATAGTGAATAGCAGAAAAATAAGAGAATTCTGACTTCCATAAATTATATCTTTGAACATAACTCCTGTGTTTCCTTACCTGCCAACTAATTTATTACCCTAGCAGTAAAAAGTCTAGTGTTACTAAAAGCGATCACCTTATCTTTGGAGCAGCGCGAAACGAGGAACTATCACTTTTTATGTGTAAAGCGATGTAATTTCAAAGAAGCATTCTCAGACAGTAAGGTAAAGTGAGAGAAAAAAGTAATTCTCCTCCCTCTGTTCTATTGTAGGTGACACTTTTCCTTATTAGTTCGTTCAAAAAATAATGACCCATTTCTATATTTAGAAACAATTTAACTATAAATTTCTCATTTTACCTTTAGCATTGTTTTTTTCTTAATCGTGGTGTCCGGACCAGCTTATGCGCACCTCGACTAATTCCACGGATACCTGCTACCTCCCACCAGCAACAGGAAGCAAGTAACTCTATCCACCGGGGCTTGGACAAATGAGAAGAAATCATCTAGTGTTTTTGTCTCCGTTGAGATTTGAACCTAAAACTTCATCATTCTCAACTCACTTCATTGACCACTAGGCCACACCCTTGAGTGCTATCCTTAGCATGTTTTTATAGCCACAAAAATGTAGTGTCAAGTTTAAGATCATAAGTTTCAAAAGTCTTTTTTTTTCCTCTTAAACTCTGTGGAGTCAAACTCTGCCACGTAAATTGGAACGGACGGAGTAGCTTATCCAAAATTAGTACGAATGTGTTTGCTATGATACAAAATCTTTTCTAGAAAATGTAGTGATTGATCAAATCATTGCTCGATATTTGATTTGATTTGTCCTGAATTATGGAAACTGCTTTTCTCCGAAGAAAATAGTTTTCACCTAAAGCCGATAAATGACTTACGTTACTTATATGAACATAAATCGCATTCTTTTATAAGTATGTGCTTCTTACTTCAGATCGCTTGCCTCAACCAATCTGGATGTTGTTGTCAACCTTTGATACTAAAAATATATCACAAAACGGCTATTCTACCTATCTTATACTTAACAATAAGTCAATAACCATAAATTGTTTACTTTATATCCAATCAAGCACGAGAAGAATGATTCAGAAAATAGTATCCTAGGTGAAACATTTCCCCACGACAAAATATTTTCTCCATACCTTAGGTTGGCGTCAACTTCAACTCCTCTTTACCTTTCTCCTAATCCAAGCAAGACTAAAACCCATGGTTTGACAAGCGTGAAGCTCTTGCCCGAGCATGCCTAGCCCATGGTTACCAACAGAGAATCAACTAAGCCTTTCTTAGTGAGTATTAACACAAGCCCACTAAGCCCATGTGACATAGGCCTATGGTATATGCACTCGACATAATCAATAAAAAATTTCTCACCATTGGTCACTGTCACGCCTTATCCACCTGCAAATCAAATGATCCCTTTGCTACAATAAGTCCATGCATTAACCTCAATATATCATTTGGTTGCCATGATTTAGGAGAAAAATGGTCGAAAAGTTGATTTTCTTGCATTTTTGTGCATTTGATAGGAAGGAGACTTGTAGGTAAAGCCTTTGACAATTTTTCAAAACAAAAAAATCCCAACCTTAAGTCCCGCAAAAATATATAAACCTGAGGGAAAATTATTTTATCTTATTTTGAACTTTCTTTTTCCTTTCAAACAAGGACATCCAAGAAAATAATATAATCTCCTTTGCTTCACTATATTCGCTGCAATTTTTATCAACAATCAAACTTTCCTCCAGACATTCAAACGAAGCCAAATGCAAACTGAACAAAAAATTCCTAGGTCTAGTTCGGCATACCCCAGAACAAACGTGTCCACAAAATTAAACAACCCAGCGTAAGTTAGGAGCTCATATTGGAAAATATCTGAACTCTGAATGGATGAAATAAATCCGAAGAAAATGCCCTAATAAAAGATGGACCCAAATATTGGGTCTAAAAACGAGGTTAATTAGTGATTTGGTATTATAGTAAATGTGGGTATTACAACACTTAATCAACTGGCATTAATGGTCAATCTAATAAGATCCAGAAATATGGTAAAAAAATACTACTAATAGAAACCTTGGAGTTCAACTTTATAACATAAGTGGAAACACAAGTAGTATAATCCAAGAAACGTAAGTAATGACTCAAATTAGTGTACCAGGGCAATGAAGGAGACAAACGCGTAGGCAGCAGAAAGAGTATAAAAGATGCCTTCTTTCCCGTTATCCGAAACCTCAAGCGCTCCATTAAACCAATCAAAGATGGGAACTTCAAGAAAAAAGCTTTTATTCTTTAGCATTGCTTGTAAGCTGAGATTAGCAGAAATGATGAACTGAAAATCAAGCTGTGTTCAGTTTTGAAACTTGAAAGAGAGTGACGAAGTGAGAAAGAAGGGGTGGAGGGTTTGGAAGGGGCGCACGTGGATGGATGGACACGTGTACAAAACACGTGGGAAGGTGGGAAGTTTACAATGTCGGACTTGTGATTCTCCTCTTGTTTATCTCATCGTTTCTTACGATCGATTAACTTAGTGGTCGTTTGGACATAAGAATTGTAAAATAAAAAAAAAATAAAAATTGTATTTGAAAATTAGAGTTGTATTTGGATATGAATATAATTTTGGGTTGTTTTTAAAGTTTTGTGAGTGATTTGAGTGAAAATTTTGAAAAATAGTTTTTTGGAGTTTTTAAAATTTTCAAAAAATTTTAAAATATATTTTTAAGTGAAAATTAAAAACTTTATGATCAAACGCTGATTTTAAAAAAAAATTTAAAAAATTCGAATAAAATTTAAAAATTTCTTATGTCCAAACGGGCTCTCAGAAAGTTTCCAAATTTAATACTTAACACAAGCATTGATGGAAACTATAATAAGAATGATAAAGAGGAAAAACATCTTCATTTATTTTCGGGTGACTAAATAAATACTAATAAGCTAGATAATGAGTATCTTTATTTACCTCATGCTACCTGAACTTCTAACTTTATCAATTGCAAAAGCATTAATTTATCTTTTTTTAGTGATGTAAAATAGTTATAATTCCAAAAACAATATTTACTAATTAAGGATATTTTAGTTATTTTTTGTTTTTTTCCAAGACGGATTAATAATAGATTAATTAAATAATGGTGTACAAATTACAATTCATCTCTTGGTGTTGAAATAGAGATAAAACGAGAATGAAACTAAAATAATTTTCACATAATGTTAATATCATCAAATGCAGATATTATTTAACTAAATGAAGGATTATATATGATAACAATCTAAGAATTCTATTCCATTATATATTCTTGAAGAATTTTATAGTCCTTTACGGACCGAAAATTAGAGATTCAAATTGTGGATCGCAATTACTTTAAGATAGAGACATAGTTGTCGTTGTACTCTTGAAGAATCATTAGGTCCTTTTTATTTGATTTATGACAGAAGTATGCTCTCTTTTTTAATGCATGTTTGATTAGGTGTAGTGTCACGATCCAAAATCCAATCACAGGTATCGTGATAACACGTAGTCTCTAAAACTAGATAAGCCAAGCACAATTACATTTTAAGCTATTTTTTTAATTCAATACAGGTGCCAAAAACCAACAGCGGAAACAAATATGAAAAACCTCCCAAGACTGGTAATATTGAGTCACGAACTCTAACTGAATATATGGAATGATCTCAAGGATCGAATACTCAATACTGTTTGATTAATAATTAACAGTACAATAAAATGAAAAGATTCCTAGGGACTGCGACGACCAAGAAACTCTACCTTGAATCCTTGCGATCACACTTTAACTATGTCTGAGTCTGATATCTCCAACACCTGGCTCTGCACAAAAATGTGCAGAAGTGTAGTATGAGTACACCATAGTCGGTACCCAATAAGTATCAAGACTAACCTCAGTGGAGTAGTGACGAGGCACAGTCGAGACACGCACTAGTCTAATAACATGTACAATATAGTATGCAAAAATAATAGGATACAAATAATAATGATGGCAACAATAATCATCCAGTGATATACACAGCAGAGCGACAAGAACACCATAAATATTGCGCAACAAATAATGAATACAAGTACAACCAATTAATCAAGTCCTTCCAATATAAATCTTTCGCCTATATGTTTTTCAAATAGAAATCTTCAAGATATAATACTTTCAAATAAATCTCTTTCCTTCAAATAAATATCTTTCAAATAAAATTCTTTCAAATAAATCTCTTTCGAATAAAAGTCACCTTGTGACACAATATTTTAAAATCATAAAATACGGGTCTCAACCCACTTTTATTTTTCCACGGCACCTCGTGCCAATTTCTCTATCACAACCGCACGGACAACTCACGTGCCAAATATCATTATCATTTAACCACGACACCTCGTGCCCACATTTTATATCACAACTGCACGGACAATTCACGTGCCAATATCATCATTATTTACTCACGGCACTTCGTGCCCATATTTCATATCACAACTGCACGGACAGTTCACGTGCCAATATAATCATTATTTACTCACGACACCTCGTGCCCACATTTTATATCACAACTGCACGGACAGTTCACGTGCCAATATAATCATTATTTACTCACGACACCTCGTGCCCATATTTTATTTCATTATCCGCCCGGTAATAATCACAAGCTCCCAATTTCAACATAGATCAGACTATTATCAATTTACCAACAACAAGATAAATTGCACAATGTATAAAAATAAACACAAGGAAATCACAACATTACATGAAAATTACCTACGCAATAACCCCACATTATCACATATCATCACTGACAATAGTCACCCTTATCACTCCTATAATAGCCCCCACTATCCCTCCGTCCTAACAATATCAATAGCCATCCTTATCGCTCCTATAGCCACCCTTATCTCTCATATGACCACCCTTATCGCTCTTATAGCCACCCTTATCGCTCCGCCCAGACAATATCCCAACACACATAACAACAGTGAAATGCCACCATTATACCCACATAATATCAACAGTGAAATGCCACCCTATATCCTCAAAATAATAACTCAAATAACACAATAATTTACACGAAATATTATCACGGCAACATAACAAAATCAATTCATATCACAATTTGCCCAATGGCCACAACCAATTCCAAAGATATAACAAAATCAATTACTTTCACAACAAATAGCCCAAGGCTCCACACAATGTGTATAACACCTCAAAATAACAACAGAGATGGAAAATACTCAGTATTTGGCAACACCTTCACTAATCCAAATTCTTGATAATTATATAACGCCTCGGTTTAAACTTATTTCATTAATTATTTGTAAATGAAAAATCCATAATATAATTATTTCAAGGAAATATCAAATCACCAAACTCACGGAATTTACATAAATATTCGAGTAACAATCACATCAAATTGTCATATAAAAACAAATTCAACAAACAAGGAATGAGTCATGACAAATAGATGATTTAATAAATGCCAACAATTATCCAATTTACTACACAATAATGTCTAAGACTTTAATCCAATAAAATTTGCACATATAATCCCGAGTACGTACTCATCACCTCGCGTACACAGTTTTTCACATTTCAAAAATGGCACATAAGACTCGATACCTAAGGGGTAATTCCCCCACTCAAGGTTAGGCAAGATACTTACCTTTTTGAAATTTTGCCGATATTTCAAAATCACCTTCTTCCTTAAATTGACCTCCGGACAGCTCAAATCTATCCAAATTAATTGTATAACTTCATTAATATTCATCGCAAATAATTCCGAATAAAAATACGGCGACTTAAAAATTTATTTCAAAAAGTCAACAAAAGTCAATGCGGGGCCCGCCTCTCGGAATCCGATATAATTTTTACGAAATCCGAACACCCATTCCGATACGAGTTCAACCATACCAATTTTATCCAATTCCAACAACAAATCGTCCTCCAAATCTGGAATTTTCATTTTTAGAAGAATTTTTAAAAATCTTGATTTCTTCCATTTAAATTTGAATTAAACGATGAATATAACCATAGATTCATGAAATATAATCACTTTAGGATATAGAACACTTACCCCAGTCGAAGTCGTGAAGAAATCCTCAAAATCGCCCAAAAATCGAGCTCCAAAAATCCTAATCGAAAATGAAGAAATGACAGATTTTCAATCCTTAAGTTTCTGCCCAGGTTCGCATTTGCGAATGAACAGTACCTCCCATGAACAGTGTTTTCGCAAATTGCGATAAATGGTTCGCAATTGTGAATGAACAATATTTTCGCAATTTTCATAAATGGTTCGCAATTGCCAATGAACAGTATTTCACCAGAAACCAGCAAACTCAAACTTCTCCGAAATGATCCGAAATTACCCCGAAACTCATCTGAAATATCTCGGACACAAACCATATATGAATTTCAATCATAAAATATGCTACGGACCGGCTCACGTGCTCAAAACACTGGAAAGAGGCCGTCTTGACCCGATATTGACCATGGTCAAACTCTCAAATTTCTTAACTTTATTAGTCTCTCAACCAATGATCCAAAAATACACTCGAGCCCCTTGGGACCCGTCAAATCATACCAACAAGTCCTAGAGCATCATACAAACTTAGTTGAAACTTTAAATTACATCAAACTATGCTAGAACCACGAATCATACCCCAATTCAAGCTTAATAAAACTAAGAAATTCCAACTTCCACATTAAATGTCGAAACCTATCAAATCATGTTCGATTGACCTCAAATTTTGCACACAAGTCATAAATGACATAACGGACCTATACAAATTTTCAGAACTGGATTCCGACCCAGATATCAAAAAGTCAACTCCCCGATCAAACTTCCCAAAAATTCAATTTTTGCCATTTCAAGTCAAATTCCACTACGAACTTCTAAATAATTTTTTGGACACGCTCCCAAGTACAAAATCACCATACGGAGCTATTGGAATCATAAAAATTCCATTTCGGGGTTGTTTACACATAAGTCGACATCCGATCACTATTCTAACTTAAGCTTTAAATCTTGGAACTAAGTGTTCCTTCCAATTCATTCCAAAACCTCACCGGACCCGAACCAATCACCCCGACGAGTCACATAACAACCGTAAAGCATAAATTGAGCGGTAAGTATGGAAACATGATTGTAATACTCAAAACGAACGGCCGTGTCATTACATGTAACCATTTCTATTTATAGTTGAAAGAGTAATATATTGGGGTATTATCACCTTTAGTCCGCGAAAAAACTATTGGGATTTTTACCTAGCTATACTATAATAGAAACCTTTTTACCACCTTTATTTAGATTCCTTATTAATTACTTTGTATATCTATAACTACAAGTTATATACAAAACCATAAAAAAGAAAAAAAATCAAGATCCCTTAATTTTAGAGTCTCAGTTACACGACACCCACCCTCATTTCCAA